AACGTAACCGTACGTTCGTGTCCTCGTCCGTACGTACGTTCGTACGGTACGGTAGTAGTATAGAGTAAGTAGTACGAAGTAGACATAACTAACTACTCTCTCTCTCTCTCTCTCTCTCTCTCTCTCTCTCTCTGTCTCTCTCTCTACTGGTAGTCGATGAGAAATTAGGCAAAGGTGCATAAACAAAACCTCCTCTCTTGATCGGTTGTTCAATGAGAAATATCAGAATGATACATCTCTCTCTCTCCATAGAGAACGACTGGTAGCTGATGAGAAATCAAGGAATCATACACCACCATCTTCTTCTTTCTCTCAAACACACACGCCCACACGCACAAGCCCGAGCAGAGATGATTCTTCAGGTACGATTTTATTGCTCGACTTGCTTAGGAATACCTGTATATCATTTAGTCTCATTTTTTGAGGTACGATTTTGTTGCTTGACTTGCTTTGGGATAATCGTGTTATCATTTATTCTCTTTTTCCTGCAAGCCGACTACCCGTTTAACTTCCCATCAAATTGTGTCAACTTCAGAATTGTTCTTGGAATTGTTCGTGCCTAGCATTATTACTTGAAATTCGGCGCATCGCATTTGTTGTAAACATGCTTTCATTCATGTATAATCTCAAAGAGTCCTGCTGCCCCACAAAAGATATCATTACTTATTTTTAAGCTTTACAACTAGAACTGATACAGAGAACTGCAAAAACAGAAGAATAGTTTACTGGACAGAAATACACATCATATAGATTTACCGGGACCTAGCAAAGTAATGCACAACATTTTCTGTAGATTTTCAAATGTCCAAAAAAATTGCCAGTCTGACTCAGACTCGGGCCTCCAGGTAGGACGGATCAGGCGCTAGGCAATTGCAGGCCAAAAACGTCAGAATCGCCCGAGTCTTCCCTTTTTCTACACTTTCTAAAAATTGCCAGCCCAATTAGTACTTCCCCGTAGGACTGGAGCTCTGGGCTCAGCTCCTGGCGAGGAGTTTGAACTTTAAAATACTGACATTTGCGAGGTCGTAGTTACTAGATGATTCAGAAATAACAATACCAAAGACGATCTAAAAAAGATCATTAAAATACTCCACCAAATGATGGCTCAAATTAAAAATCCTGTGTCTGCAATTACTCACACTGCAGTTGTTCTTCCCTTTTAAGAGATCCCCAAACCCCTCTTCAAAGACCAGGGCCATTTACATAAATTTCCCATAACTACAAATGGCAACTTACAAATTTCACCTCAATTCTCTCTCTACACATCAGGAAACCATGCCTCGATTCTCCAAAGATTACAACAGATTTCCGAAGCCAAGAAACACAAATATTTGCTTTCAAGTCCACCACAATTCGACATTCACAACGCTACAAGTAATTACAGATACACAAAAATCCAACCCCTCACCACCATGAGAAATTACAGGAACCATACCATCCAATTGGTCTCTCTAGACTCTCGTTTTGTTGGTTGGAGCAGTGATCCAACTCTCCAATTAGGAGGTCATATGATACCTGAATAAGCCTCTCATTTCACCCCTTTTTAACGGATTGGCTGGTATTGTGTGATCCCACGCTTTGGAGGTAGCTTCCTCAGGATGAAAAGAACGAGAACTGATGGTATAATTTCCACCAACTAAAAAAAAAAAAACCCTCAAATCTCAGATTGAAATTTAATCCAAAGGCAAAGAGTTGGTCTAATCCAAGAAAGAAGTTGAACAAGGGACCATAAAAATAGTTGAAAACCAGAATTTTAGATCACTTTGAAAGAATGGATTGAGAAAGGAAAAAAAATCTTATGTTTCCCCAATTTTAGGTGATTTTTGGTCCAGTTTTTAAGAACCCCAGAAAAATTTGGTGGGAGATTAAAAATACATTTCAGCCATGACTATGTGAAGAAATCAAAATTCAACTAAAATTCAGCAGAGAAAGTGGTGGGAAATACCACGTAGTATAAGAAGTTCAGAACTGGATGGTTGAGAACATCAAGATTTGCAGCTTTGTCGAAGGCACAAAAGAACATCTGTCACATGTTAAATAGCATTACAATGATTCAGTGCATTGTAGTCATAATGAGATGCTGCTATTGTAACACTTAAAAATAAAAAGCTGCACAAAGAAAACAAAGGGCAGGTCTATCCATTGTTTCCTTCTCCTTTATTTATTTCCAAACCAATTGAAAAATATGAATTAGTGATGTGATTCAGTCCTCTTATAGCACACACGAACATAGTTGGGAATCAAGCAGAGCTCAAACAGATCAAAATACCAATTAGCAAAAATCAGATATTACACTACATAGCTAGAGATAACATTTCTTAGAAAAGTTTTTTTTTTGAAACTGTTAAACTGTTCTATACTAAAAAGAAGAAGGAAGATACAAGGGGTGGGGGGGGAGTAGACACCACCCACACGGGGGTACCAGTCCAAATAATAGGCTATTTCATATAAAAGTTACATCTATCAAGGCAAACAAGAAGCCAAGATTAGATTAATAACAATGAAAACCACAAGAACTCAGAAAGATTTAAAAACTTAACATGATATTTAATGGAGTAACGAATGGAACCCAAAAAAAAGAAGAACAAAAAGACAACTCACCACCACACCTCACTAAGAAGCAAGTGAAACATATGGTGTTTTTTATTTTTTAAAACAGTTAACTGTTCTATATTAAAAAGAAGAGAGAAGATACAAAGGGGGGAGTAGATACCACCCACATGGGGGTACTAGTCCAAAAAATAGGCTATTTCATATAAAAATTACATCTATCAAGGCAAACAAGAAGCCAAGATTAGATGAACGATACTGGAAACCGCAAGAACTGAGAAAGATTTAATGGAGTAACGGATGGAAAGATTTAATGGAGTAACGGATGGCACCTAGAAAAAGGAAGAAGAAAAAGACAACTCACCATCACACATCTCACTAAAAAGCAAGTGAAACATATGGTAGTCACATAGCCAACCTGCGTAAGAAAATCAAAAGAAACACATTTAAGTTCGACCCCAGATAATTCAGTATGCTTTTCAAGAGATTAAATAAAAATTTCTGATTCCATATTGGAATTCAGGAAACCCACAGATAAGCTAGTTGACATCTGATTCTGTCAGAGCATGTATAAAATGCTGTAGGAAAGGTGGTGCGCGTGTCACATTGAAATTTGAGGACAAATCTAAGTGCTGACCTCACTAATCAGAAGAGAATCAACAAACATGGACCTTAAATTTAAGCATTGAGTGGCAAGCGGAATCACTTTCTAGAAAACTACAGGATACCAGTAGCTAGTTGGGGGACTTGTTTAAATCCCAGTTAGTTGACTACACACGGCATGTGTTGGTGACAATTGAATTTGCACGAGTTCATCAACAGACCTGTTCATCTTGAATCCTATATGGTAATTATCATCCTCATGCTATTGATCTCTATCTTATTCACTGGCTCTTCATTTTGGTTCTCATTTATCACAAAGTTACTTAAGACTTTCAAATAGCTTCTTCTTCTTTCCTATCTTTCCTTTTTTTTTTTCTTTCTTAATTTAGGGGAAGAAAACTCCATATAGCCTGAGTGACATGTTAGCTTAACAGTGCATTTTCCCCTTTTCCCTTAACTTTTTATAGAGATTTTTAGCAAAATAAATTGCAATTTAGGAAATCTAGGACTTCATACACACTCCATTAGCCAAAAGACCCAATCGCTCATCAAACTTATTACCTTATCAGCTTCCATAAAATGATATGGAGTCATCTTATAAACACATTGAGAGGTCCTATAGAATCATTCATCAATAAAAACCCATCAACATTAAAGCAAGTTACCCTCTGAAACATGCGAGACTAAGAAATGCCTCTCATGTAACATCATCAGAGAGCAGCGACATTCTAGAAGTAAATCACACATTCACAAGGAATATCATCCCCCAATTCATCCCTACTGCCCGTCCCATCTTACCAGTCCCCTAGAATCTCTTCATTGCACCCAGAATTAAGCTTTCTGCATTTAGAGGGCATTGTCTCAAGGTCACAGAAAGCTATACTCGAACTAGGTTGCTCCAGTCCTCCAACAAATCCCATGTCTCAACTACCAACCAATTCTCTCAACACTGTTCACTTTGTAAATCAAGTGAACTGTAAATACGTAACCAGACATTATCCAAGCACAGTTTACATTTTATACAAGACACCAACATTAAAAGGGTTACGTATTTTTTGGCGGCCAGATTCCAGTATAAATTTATCTAAGATTGCTAGGGATTATTGTTTTTTAGGAAATTTATCAAAATGCACCTAATATGTCAACTATTTAACATTCTCCCCATTTATCAAACCGCCCCTAAAATCTCAACAATTACAATTCAAGGTTAATGTCCTTGATAGGAACTTTGAAAATATATCAGTAGAAATGGGTAAAACTTTAAATAGTTCATCTCTTGGAGGCTCTTTGATAAATTTCCCTTTTTTCTTTTCTTGATTCATGAGCTTGGAACCTGAATTCAGAACCTAGGTGCGGGAATATAATCTCAAAATCACAAGGGAAAAGGAGTTCATCTTGTTAGGCATCATAAGAATATCTATTAGTTAAGCTCTTTATAACAAAAATCAAAATTTAGTGTGTTGGTCTTATATGAGTAGATGGAATTACTGTTCATTCTTCAGCTGCTTGAGTCATGGATGATAGATGTGCAAACCTTGTGCAAACCTATTCCAATATATAGTACAGCTTCAAGAAATTTATAGTAAAAGCTGATCATACTGTTCCCTGACATACCTCTTGTAGCTTTTTGCGCCTTCCCTTGGATTCCACAGGAAACCTTTCTAACATAAGGAAGAGCCTGGCATTATGTTTTAACAAACATATGTTAAGACAAATACAGCCATGTGCAAGCAAACAATTCATTTTCGTTAGCACCTATAAACGTGTGCGGCAGTGTGCATTCAAGGATGTTCTGCTGCACCTTTGTGTAGAAGTGTAGAACTATGTTCATAGATAGAACAAACATTTTCAGCATCCAAAAATCATTGATGTAGAATGGTATATCTGATGCAGTGCCTAGGTGTATGTGATCACACAGACATGTTCCAAACGTCAACATGTTACAAAAACCAATAGGGAGAATGAAGGATTCAGTACTCACCTCCCACCATAGAGAAGGAATCCAAAGGCAGCAAACAACGATACACCTGCATAAAGGCAGTGTTGAAATGAGATGATTTTGCACATTCCAGAACTCCATTTTGTCAACCAAGTCAGAAACATAAAATAAATATTTTATAGTATGGAAGCAAACCTGCAAAAAAAACTTTCGATAGGACGACCAGGATATGAATAGGCTTCCACCACAAGATCAACCACAGTCCCAACTGTCGGCAGTTCAAGGACAAAACCACCCAAATTACTTTTTTTATTTTTTTATTTTTAAATATGTCATTACTTTTTCTATTTCATAGAAGTTTAGATCTATAGATTCTATAATATGGTACTTTCCATATTCCTTCACAGATTTATAAACATGTTGACCATGAATCAAGCATCTTGTAATTGGAATTGAAAATGGCAAAAAATACTAACTGCTGATCAACAGGCTTCCAAAGATCTTGATATCAGACTATTTTGGAGATCAAATTGTTTAATTTAAGCAAATCTTAACAGAAAGAAACTAAAGCTAACTACCATACGAGATTTTTTTCTATAAATTAACTGCATTCAGAGCTTTAGTATCTAGTAATTATAGAAGATCATGAGGCATTCTTAATTCTGTAATTATAGGGTCACAAATCATGATAAGCACATCATTCTAGTAAAAATTGCATAATCACATCATTAATAAGCAGAACAAAACTCAGTAAATCTGTAAAGGGCATTTAACAACAAGAACATTATATAGACTAGACCCCAATGGACTGCCTAATTTGATATGATTTTGATCCAAATGGAACCATGCTAGTTCCATCTAGGCAATAAAAAATACATAGGTTGCTTGAGTCAGTTGAAAGCCTGAACAGTTTGGCTTTCATAGTGTAGCTTTCATTCCCAAGTTAGAAGGCAGAGGGCTGAATCAAACTGACTAAATCAATCCCATTTTTTGCCGAAGAAGACACTTAGGGAATTACTTCTGCCAAACATATCAAGTTGAGTCTCATGAGCCAGAGATTTTTGCTGTCCTCTTCTTGCCTATTGATAGCATCTCCGCCAACTGTATGGGCATCTTCTTGTGCATGACTGCAACCTCATGCCACATTCCAATATTTTTTACTCTCATAGATCAAAAGATTTGCCACCAGACATTGAGAATCACAGTATTTCCATATTATGCCTACATTTGTGCACCTTCATAGTTGCAGCCCAATATTATCTTTGGTTGTTATTACATGTACGACGAATAATAGGTCCAGAACGAAATGACACTTGATCTCAAGTGAAATCAGCACAAGAGTAGTCAAGCTGATTTCCACAATTAGCAACTGTAATGCCTGCAAGGCTGCAACTTCAAATTCTTCCCCATTTTCATGCATTATTCCTGTATAGTCGCTTGCACATACTGCAGTATTCAACAAACAAAATTCAAAGTTGTTCTTATGTGAGTCTTCCCTGAGTTGGCACACCATTCCAATCAGAAAAACCATTATAAGTAAAACTATAACCTAGTAATCAGATCCCCGAACACCCACTAGTTGGTGTTGTCATGAATGTAAGCTCTTTATATGTTGACTCTAATCGAAAGGAACGGCAATTAGCTCATAAGCAGTATGCCAAACTTTTCAAGTGGAACAACATACCTTATATGGCACCATAACGTCTCCTTGGGAGTCTTCTTTGAATGGTTGTAGATGGTGGTCCTTAAGGCTGAATTAAGAGTCTAAGGCAGAACCAGATATGTGGAGTGTAACTAGTCTGGTTGACAATAAGTTAATTAAGGGAAATCTGTGATTCTGAGGGTTCACCATCCAATTGAAGGGTTCAACACAAGGGAGAGAGAGTAACCCATCAGGATATGACAGGACTTTGGTAGGGAATCTCGCTCTGTTCACCACCTTGCAACATAGCGATTTGACAACAATGACCCTTATGACCACAGATTTCTAATGGTCGTATCCATTAAGATATATACTTTAGCTCTCCAAAAAAAGGGATTAATTCAGTAACATGTTTGAACATATTCAGAACTAGGAACCCCGTCTCTTCATAACAATGCAATCCATGGTTTGGTGCACCAGGCTGATGGGTCCAAGTTTCCATTTTTGATCAGTATGATTAATGCAACTACAGTTAAACTTGTAAGACTGTGTGGCTAGATTTATGCATTGAAGGAGAAAAGGTGGTTTGCGGGTGGGTGACTCCATGGTACGGTGTGGTTGATCAAGGGTTGGAGAATGGCTTACAATAAAGGCGAACGGGAGATGTAAATAAAAGATAAAGAAGAAAAGAGAGAGAGGGCCTATACTTGTATAGCATCAACACTATACCAAAACAAGAAGGATAACCTAAAATAGTATGGAAGTGGCATCTTACAAAGATTAGGTTTCTTGTGGAATTGGCGCAACGAATGAGTCTTGAGGATCAGCACCTCAGTGAAGGAATCAATACCACAGAAAGCTTGCAAAAGCGAATTTTATTACACCCATAGATGAATATGGCCATAGGACTTTACATGTATTTACTAGAGCTCTTGACTCCTAATCCTCTCTTAACTGGAGTACAAGCAATGCAATATTAATGAAGACTTCAAATTCTACAAGGCAAAAAACAATAAAACAGAATTTAATTACAAATAGGAAACCTAGAACAAAAAGAATTTGATAACCAGCCATTTTGGTCAATACCTGAAGTAGAAAACACCAGAATAAGAACAAAAATAAAATAAAATAATAATCAATAGGAATAGTAGTTATAGCTCCTTGAAAAGACAATGGAAATGGCTTGAAATCAATCCAACCGGAGACTCAACTAAAAATTACATCTTCTGTAAGCAAACTGCTGATTTCATGAAATAACGAAGAAAATCACGGGGGAAATCCGCTTTACTACGAAAAAGAAAACCAACATCAATGAAACCAAATACAATACCAAAGAATTTCTTTTTACCAACAAGAAATGGACTCACACAATACCATCGAGAGCACGTTAGCCCCCACCATTGTTGCCATTATTTAGTTCGATATTAGCCATTATTAAGTTCAATATTTATGTGGACCTTAAACTTTCCCTTAACCTATCCCAAACACGTGTAAAAGAGTGGGTTGTGTTAGGTAGGTAGCCAATATAAAAATTTGCCAAAACTTTCTATGAATCCAGAATAATTAGGATTCGTGTAGCCGACCACAATTAGTTGGGAAAAGGCTCTGATGATGATAATTTATGTGGGAGACAAACAATGCTCCACTATATTAATTGTCTTCTTTCAGCAAACTAGATAGTTGCTTTATTGTGAAACTATTGCAAAACTATTGCAGCATACTCAGCATCTAAATGCTACATAAATCTAGGGTTTTAGGGTCACTCTTTTGTGCAAGGAAAGCAAGATCCACTCACATCTAGCATGTTTTGATGGTTATTGAACTGTCTTTTTGCCTCTTCTCTTCATTTTCCTGCATCAAATTGGTATTTGAGCCTCAGTTTTCTTCAACAGCAAAGCTAGGGATGAACAAAGGGATGAACAACAAGTCTAGGGTTTTTTGATTTTAGACCAAGTTTCACTATATCAGCATAGAACTGCTAGTTTCAGCTAGGTTTTGTTGGTTCTCTGCCTATGGTTTGTGAATTCAGTGAACCTATGGTAGTAAGAACAGGTCGAGGCAAGGGTATTCATATGGATCCATCTCGTGCTGAGCAGAATCAGGAGATAAGAGTATTTGAGCCAACAAGTTCACGAATTTGCAAGGCAGCTTGCAGGCATCTATTGTGGGCGAGATGAAGTTTTGTCTGTCCAAGATGATATTGCGTACAACCCTTTTCACTATCGTGCTCCGTGAGATGACTTGAGTGAAGAGGTATACGATTGGAGGTATGAGTGACACTCAAATTCCACAAGTCTAAACGTAGATATTCCTGATTTTGAAGGAAAGTCGCAGCCTGGTGACTTTATAGACTCGTTAAATACAGTAGAGAGGGTATTTGATTACGAGGATGTGTCAGAGAATAAAAAAGTTAAAGATTATTGCGATTAAATTGAAGAAAGGTGCTTTGGTATGGTGGGACCAGCTGAGAGCAAGGCGAGAGAGAATGGGAAAGCCCAAATTTAACACTTGGGAGAATATGAAAAAGAAATTAAAGGAGAAGTACCTATCTGAAAATTATTTGCAGTCTTTGTATCAAAAGATGTATGTGTTGTGCCCGGAAATAGGTACGTGGATGAATACACATATGGGTTTCATCTTTTGACTGTCGTAGTGATATGATCAACCAGGAGGAGCAGTCCATAGCCAGGTACGTGAATGGACTGCACCAAGTAATTCAAGATGTGGTAGTTTTGCAGCGGTATTGGACCTTTGATGAGGTCTATAACCTTGCGAAGAGGGTTGAAACTCAAAAAATATGACCCTCGAACAAATGGGATGCAAGTGCAAGTGATCAGGGAAATAGGGCAGCAGCCCGTGGTGATATTTTGGAAGAAAAGGCAGTGATTGGTGCTGGTCCGTTTGACATCTTGCACAGCCAGAACAGCCAACCAACAAGATGTCCTGGACCAAAAAGGGATTTGCTTTAGGAGTCGGAACATCCAAAAGGAGTTTTGGTAGCTACATCAAGTGCTACGAGTGTTCGGGGATTGGGTATGTCTCATCACAGTGCCCAAATCGCAAGTTTGTTAACCTTTCTGAGGAGTTTTATGATGGGGACAAGAAGCATTCTTTTGAAGGTGATCTCGTATACAATGAGTCATTGTTGAAGAGGACGCAAAAACGACTTATAGCGATCATGGGGAGGCATGGTGATCCGGTGCAGTATGATTACGCCTCGGGTTGTGGAGAAAAATGATTGGCTGTGCACGAACATATTTCATACACGTTGTACTGCATATGGAAAGGTGTAATAATCTAATCGAGGGAGTTGCAAAAACATAGTTTCTCAAGAGATGGTTGACAAGCTTAAGCTCAAGACGGAAAACCATCATAATCCTTATAAAATTGTGCATAGTTCAAGAAGGGCACTGAGGTAACTGTTTCTAACAGATGGCTTGTTTCTTTTTCTATTGGAGAAACATACAAAGATGAAATATGGGGAGATGTAGTGCCTATGGACACCTGCCATTTGTTGTTGGGGAGACCATGGCTATGACAGGCGTACCACTCGTAATGGTTTCAGAAACACTTATTCCTTTGTCAAAGATCAGTTAAAGTGATTCTAGGACCCTCTAAGATGGAAAGTGCTTCAAAAACACTAATCTCTTATCTTTGACGGAGTTCATGAGGGATTTGGGTGAGTTGGGTGTGTTGTTTGCTGTGGTGCTAGTGAAGAAAAGCCCATCAGTGCCATTTCTCCTAAGCTAGAGCCATTGATGAGGGAGTTCAATGATGCCATATCGGATGATCTTCCAAAGAGATTACCTCCCATGTGAGACATCCAACATCGCATTGACCTCATACCTGGTTCTAGCCTCCCAAATAAAGCAACCTATAGAATGAATCCTAAGGAGCATGAGGAGTTAAAGAGGCAAGTTACAGAGTTGCTACAAAAGGGGTTTATCAGGGAGAGTATGAGCCCATGCGCAATGCCAACATTGTTGAAACCCAAGAAAAACGGTTCTTGGTGCATGTGTGGACAATAGGGCAATTAATAAAATCACCATAAAATACCACTTTTCGATACTGCACCTGGATGATATGTTAAGACATGTTGGTGGGGGACACGATTTTCTCTAAAATACACTCGAGAAGTTGTTTCCATCAAACCAGAATCAGGCCGGGTGATGAACGGAAGACTACATTTACGACACGATGGAGATTGTATGAAGATCACCATAAAATACCGCTTTCCAATACTGCGTCTAGATGATAGGTTAGACATGTTGGTGGGGGCCACGATTTTCTCTAAAATAGACTTGAGAAGTGGTTTCCATCAAATCAGAAACAGGTCGGGTGATGAATGGAAGACAGACATGTTGGTGGGGGCCACGATTTTCTCTAAAATAGACTTGAGAAGTAGTTTCCATCAAATCAGAAACAGGTCGGGTGATGAATGGAAGACAACATTTAAGACACAAGAGAGATTGTATGAGTGGTTGGTTATGCCATTTAGGTTATCAAACGCACCTAGCACCATTATGAGGCACATGAACCAAGTCTTTATGCCATATATAGAAAAGTTTGTGGTGGTATACTTTGATGATATCCTCAAATACAGCAGTAGTGAAAGGAGGCATATGGACCATCTAAGACTTGTGTTGGAGTTGTTACAAGATGAGCAGTTGTATGCAAATTAGAACAAGTGTGAATTCATGATCAGCAGTTTAATTTTCTTGGGTGTCGTGGTTTCCACTAAGGGAATCAAGGTGGATGAGAGAAAGGTGGCAGCGACAAGAGAATGGCCAAACCCGACATCAGGACATGACGTACGTAGTTTCCATGGGCTGGCCATTTTTTATCAATGTTCATTAGAGGATTCAGCACCATCATAGCACCACTTACTGACTGTTTGAAGAAGGGCTCTTTCAGATGGACTACAGAGCAGAAAAGAGCATTGAAAGGATTAAGCAAACCATGACTGAAGCACCCGTGCTGGCATTGCCAGACTTTAATAAGATGTTTCAGCTAGAGTGTGATGCATTGCATGTTGGTAATGGGGCTGTTTTGAGTCAGGAGGGCAGACCAATCGCATATTTCAGAGAGAAGCTGAATGATACATGCTGACGGTATATTACCTATGACGTGGAATTTCATGCAATCATTCAGGCTTTAAAACACTGGTGTCATTATCTTATTCAGTGGGAGTTTCTTTTATTTTGAGATCATGAGGCACTGGAGTATATTAATGGGCATCATAAGCTGAACAACTAACATGCTAGGTGAGTAGCATATTATCAGGAGTTTACCTTCGTGATTCGTCACCAGCCTGGGAGTCAGAATAAAGTTGCAGATGCCTAGAGTCGAGAGCGTCACTTTTGACCATTATGGCTGCTATGGTGACAGGGATTGAGTGTCTGCGTGACTTGTATGCTGATGATGACAATTGTGGACAGATTGCGGTGAGTGCTAAGGTGGAGTTGCAGGAGACTACTGGTACAAGATGGGTTTCTCTTCACAGGGAATCAATTATGCATTCCTGTCGGTTCTCTTGGCAAGGTCCTTATTTCAGAGTTACATGGTGGGGGCCATGGGAGACACTTTGGGCGAGACAAAACCATTGCATTGGTGGAGTCTAAGTACTATTGGTCCAAACTTAAGCAAGATGTATCTAAGCATGTGGAGAGGTGCAAAGTGTGTCAAGTTGTAAAAAGGAAGCGTTAGAACTCAGGTTTATATTCTCCACTTCCCATTCCCAATGCACCATGGGAAGACGTTAGCATGGATTTCGTGATGGGTCTTCCGTAGACTCAACGAGGTATGAACTCTATATTTATTCTGGTTGATAGGTTTTCAAAGTTGGCGCACTTCATCGCTTGCAAGAAGACTCTAGATGCAACTCGTGGCCAACTTATACTTTCGAGAGGTGGTAAGACTTCATAGGATTCCCGAAATGATTACATCAAATCGAGATACCAAATTTCTAAGCCACTTATAGGGAACTTTATGACGCAAGATGAGTACAAAGCTACAGTTTAGCAGTGCTTATCATCTACATACTGATGGTCAAGCTGAGGTGGTCAATCGAACCCTTGGTAGCCTACTTCGGAGCATAGACAGTGACAAGAAAAGACAATGAGATGTGGCTCTGCCACAAGCCGACTTCTCTTACAACAGTTCCTGCCGTAGGTCATCTGAAAATAATCCATTTGATGTCGTATATGGGCGGAATCCTACCCATATGGTGGATTTGACTCCTCTACCAGCTAATGGGGAAGGACACTTAGATGCCAACAATATGATCAAGCACATGAAGGATGTCCATAACTAGGTTTGAGCTAATTTGGAGATTGCCACTACCAAGTATAAGGAAGCTATAGATAAACATAGGCGATTAAAAGGGTTTCAGGTAGGCGATTAGGTGATTAATTTTCTATGCAAAGATAGGAATCCTGTGGGAAAATACAACAAGTTCAATGACAAGAAGATTTGACTGTTTCAAGTCCTAAAGCATAGTTAAGGGAACCTTGTGGGAAGGGTGACGATCCCGCTCTGGAACCTCGATCCCACGGTTCCTACAACGGATCTTGTAGGGACGCCGGTTTTTCGATTTTGGGATCTCACTCCCAAAAAAAGGGGACCACGTTCCATCCATCAATGGAATCCAGTTCCATTTCGAAATAGATCCCCGCTCCCATCAACAATGATCCAAGGTTTTGGTACATTAAAATCTTGGGTTCCATGTTTGCGGGATCTACTTTCATTAACGGTAATACCAGGTTAGAAACTGCCATTGTCCCAAGTTCCCATTATTTACGAATCATAAGTTCCATGATGGTAAAATCCAATCCCTTTTCACATAGCACAAAGTTCCATTATTTTTTATTCTTAATTTGAACTAAGCATAGTCTAGAGTGACCCACTGTTTTATTAAGTCCTATTGTGTAATCCATCCCTATTAGTTGTGAGAATATATATTTCATTTAAAATCTTATATTTATGATGTCATATTGTTTTAGATTCTTAAATCACAATGACGAATCCTCTTAGTTGTGAGATGAGAATATATCTTTTCATTTCAAGCTTTAAAAAGCTTCTTTTACATCTGTGAGAGAGAGAGAGAGTAGTTCATCTTGTCCTCTTGCCCCTTCGTAGAGCCAGCCTTTAAGAAACAATGGAAGCAAAGGAGACTACATTTGAAGAAGATGAACCTTGAGTGGTAGGATTCTGGGTTGCTAGGACTCCGAGGGAATGGTGCATGCCAAACTTGTGTCATGACCTAAAGATGTAGTAGGAGGGACAAGCCTTGGTACTGGAGCACTCTGACGAGCCTCATCATCAGCATCAACGCGGTTGCCTAATGCTTCTAATGCCCCAACATAATCCTCGAGGTGGTCATCATCAGGATGAAAATCTCATCCTTTGTACTTATGGGGTATTTTTATGGAACATTGCAATTCAGATTTTAATGCAAGGGGAACTTTGGCAACCATGCCATGAATATATGTTCAATTTAAAACAAAGTAAACACTTTCAAAGTTAGTACCATTTTCGAAACAAGTAAGATCAGAACCTACAATGGCATACTGTAAGTTGCAAGAAGGATTCATATTCACCATTGCACTGAAGTTGCATGACACGTAATCGAGTTGAACACCATGTTTAAGGGTATTTCTAAAGGGGAGGTCGTCCAGTTGTAAATTTGTAGCATTTATCAGACTACAAATTCTAGAAGAGAATCTGTTGCTCACCCCTGGCCCTAAATATGGCCATAAGGCGCTTCAAGGAATTCTTTAACCACAAAGGTGAATCAGCAAATGACAAAAGACAGTTATAAAACAAAAATCAAAGAGGGTGAGTGAAGAGGTTACGATGACTTCTGGGGTTACCTCCAATTTTCCTAATGCTCATCTTGGTTCAAATTTACATGTTCGGGGATCCATTAAGCAAACTCAGGACTTCTTTTGTTTTGGAAATAAAGCTACTTTCGGGATTTTTACTTTTAAGTAAAGCTACTTTGGGACTAAATGCTTTGTTGTTTGAACTTTCACAAGATAATGTAAATTTTGAGGTGACAGTAAGTATTATGCATCTTAATAACATGTTTATATAATAATAATGATTAAAAACTAAAGGCGTGGAATGCATAAAAAAATTCAGCTCTAATTTTACTTAAATGAGAATATAACAATCAACCCTCAAAAGTATATAGGAGTAGCCTTTTTGAAGTTTCCTTCTCACTTATGACTGTTATTCCATGTTGTAACCCGTACGCAAGCAACATAAAATTTAAAATCATCACAATAGGTAACATTACAAACCAACACGATGTCATCTACATATTACAAATACATATGCTTGTCAGTAACTCATCGCATTTGTTTACTCGATGAAGTATGAAAAACAGAGAATAAAAATGCCCAAGATTTTCAAACATAAAAAAGGTAAAATGGGTTGAACACAGTTCCTTTTCATTATACATTCAAAAGATACAAATCATCAATGCTAGCAGGCAACCATAATAAAATGAACTGTTCCCAATACGTATTCGTGATTCACCAAGACATATGCCACTGGCATCCCTATTCTCTAGTCTTGCATAAGATAGACTCAGACTTCACCTGAATTGCGTAAACCACTCCATTAATTGTCATGAAACCAGTCCTAAGACCATCTGTAGATACAGAGCGTGCCTGCCAAAAGAATATATTTCAGAACCAATCACCTAAACGATCAAGACTACCCACCTGGCAATGAAGGAAAATGAATTAATGACCTGATAATATATCTCAGCCCAGAATAAAACCAAGAGTGCATATGTCGTGAAGAATACAAGACCAGGCATATCGAGCAAGATATGTTGGAGAATCTAAAAATAAAGGATGAGTTAGTACAACATATGGGGCATATAACATTAACTTAGAGCAGTATCCAATATTTAATAGGTATTGTACGTGATTAAATTCATCTAAAGGCAAATAACAAAGCCAACCTCTGGTTGTAAACGTTGCACGCTTCGCCTAAACACAAAGACTAATGACCTAACTGCATAACAAACCAATGAATAAAGAATGAATAATGGGAAACAATTAAAAAAAGGAAAGAAAGAAAAGCATCACAATCGCTCAATTAAAGCGCCACATGGAGTAGAATATACGAACCAGTATTCACCAGAAAATTCAGGAAATGAAACACCTTCTGTGTTGTCCAACCATACTCTGGAACTCTTAGTTCTATCCGAACAAGTTGAATCTACAATTGTCATAATCAAACATGAAAACATTCCAATCCATCAAAAAGAGCCAAAGATAAACAGAAAGTACAATAACCCATTGAAACAAAAATAATGTTTTTGATGTCAAAATATAAGATGCCTTTCCTTCTTCCTTTCTAATTGTCCATTAACATACAATTTCCATCAAACATCATTTAAATTTTCGTTTGAAATCAAAGATGAATGTGTATATGTGAGAGAGAGTGAGAAAGGTTATCAATGTGATGATTTGAAAACCTGGTCAATAATTTTTTCCTTATATGCATAATAGTAATTGGGATAAGGCTTGGATGATGATGATGATGAAGTTATGCATAATAGTCTATTGGTGTATCCGGTTTTTGTAAAGAATGGACAAAGAGTAAACCGTTGCAATTAATAAACAAATCTGAGAGAGACGTTATCCATGCGAATAATTCAAAACCCTAGCCGCAAAATAATTGCCTTACAAATAGCCCTTTCCTGGGTTTGCAAATTATGAACCATCCAAATTAATAAACCGCGCACACGCACGCACAGAGAGAGAGAGGGAGAGATGCATGGTAATTCAAACGCTCCATTAAAAAAATTTCCTCTCCCCGCATACAAATCATCCAAAATCAATGAATGTTCAAACTAATCCATCACCCATGATTTCTTCATAGACAAATATTCCTCTAATTCCATTCTAAAAAAAAGTATTCCTCTAGTTCCCCCCAAAAAATAAAAGAAATCCCAAAATCTCGTCAAAACCAAGGATCAATGAACAAATCATCACAAAACAACCAGAAAGCAACAATCGAACTCACCAGAGCAATAGCACCAACAAAACCATAGAGCCCTGCAAGCGTATAAAATATTCGATCCTGCCAAACCTTTGAATTATTCGCCTCCTCCCACCAATCCATGGCGTTTTGCAACGTAATCTCCAACATTCCCCAATTTATCAAACAACACAGCGCAAACCTCACCAGAAACTCAAAATTCCGGAGATTTTCAGAAACTTAACGGCCAAAATCCAGCTTAAAATGAAACGAAACAGCCGACGGAAAACCAGACTCGGCCAGAAAATATCACCGGATATTTTTTCGCAGGAGCAGTGAGAGGAAACAAACAAACGAGGGCAAAGTTTTGGGGAATTTACAATGATTGCAGGGCCCGAAATGCCGTCTAAAAAGGGCGGAAATTATGAGCGAGAAGATTCCGGCTTCGATTAAAAGGTCGGTGGTTTTAGGTGACCGGAGTAGCCGGTAGATGGAGTATGGGACCGCCACGTGCCCGTATTAAATTGGAGAGTGCGCATACTCATTTGGACCACCGTGGATCTGGAAGGCTAGCTTTCGGCCAGCTCATTTCATAGCAAGCGCATGCCTTGGCGCACACGTGTCATTATCACACGTGTGGGACCCTAACCGAAAATTTGGTGGCCTTTTTGGACTCTCTTTTGGCGCTTAGAGTTGGGAATTTCGGATTAGCCGGCCTAGATCGGGAATGGTGTGGGTCGGGTCGGTTTTGGACTAAGGCTTTGTTTGACCCGAACCCAATCTGATGTTTTATATATATATAGAGAGGGAGGACAATGATTTCATGCGATCGTTGTATAGTAAAATGATGCAACAATCTTAAAAAATCATCTTATGGCTATTTATTTGATTCAAATTTTGAAATATACACTCTTTTCATTATAATGGACAATCACAAAAAAAAAAAAAATTGAAAACACAACTTAAAAAGTATTTTTTTAACCTAATTAACATAGGCCGTTCATTTTAGTGAGATGCATAAATCTAGGCCTATGATTTTTTCCATTTCCAATTTTTTTGGATGGCTTTATTATCATTAGATGAACAATGTTAAAAAGGAAAAAAATAATTTTGAGTTTATAAATGCTAAGATCTTAAAATTCAAAAAATAAATGGTCTAGATTTGTGTTTGGATGTGACTCATTTTGACCATATCTAGGGTTCAAATAGAAATTTTATTTCGGGGGGATTGATTATTGAGATGCAGAGACTGTGTGTGCAAAATTTGAGGTCATACACAAGCCACAAACATGATTTTTTAAAAGTGTCGTTGCATTATACTATGATACAACCGTTGCATTTGATCATTGCTTGTGTGTGTATATATATATACTGCAACGACACTTTTAGAAAATCATGTTTGTGGCATTTGTATGACCCCGAATTTTGTACACACACTCTCTGCATCTCAATAATCAATCTCAAAAAAAAGAAAATTGAACCCTAGATACAGTCAAAATGAGTCCTCTCAAAAACCGAATCTAGACCATTCATTTAGTGAATTTCAAGATCTTAGCTTTTATAAACTCAAAATATTTGTTTTTCTCTTTTAACATTGTTCAACTAATGATAATAAATCCATCCAAAAAAATTGAAAATGAAAAAATCCTTTTAAGACCTAGATCTAAGCATCTCACCAAAATGAACGATCTATGTTAATTGGGCTAAAAAAATACTTTCTAAGTTGTGCTTTAAATTTTTTTTTTTTGTGGTTGTTCATTAGAATGAAAAGACTGTATATTTCAAATTTTGGATAAAAAATAATCATAAAGTGATTTTTTAAGTTTATTGCGTCATATTACTCTACAACATTTGCATGATATCATTACCCTCTATATATACAAAGTTGGGTCTAGATCCGGTTGATGTTGACGTTAACTTGACCTGACCTCATAAAGTTTAGGATTGAGCCTAATCGGGTCTACGGCCCCTAGTGCCACCTCTACTGAAATCTTCCTCAAAATAGGGTTGCCATCGGGCCGAGCTATACCAGCCCTGTAAATATTTTTGGTTGTGACTTGTATCACGCCCGAGCGCAGCCTAGTGAGCCTTGAAAATTGATTCAAATCAGCCAAGGCTATGTTTTTGTGTGGCACATATGCTATACATAACATATTAATAGCAATATACATGTGTGTTGCGCGAGATATTTAATATTAATCTGTAAAATATATTCATTATTGATAAATATTTTCAATAAAATATGATGTAGATATTATTGAATTTTATCCTCATAATTGAATAATTTTATTAAGTAATTATGAATTTTTTAAATCATAAAAGAAAGAAATAAATCATATATACTATTAGTGATAGAATAAAATTAGTGGGTACCAAAAAATTATAAAAGCTATTTTAAATAGAGGAATATTTAAAATTGAATATTGTATCAAATAAATAAAATTAATACATTATATTAAAAATATTTACTTAACACATATCTATTTGGCACAAATTAAAACAAAAACAATTAAATAATTCAAATTGCATAAATAAAAAGTGATAGATAATTTTTTTCCAATTTCGTTGTGAATGATAGAAGTTGCAAAAAAAAAAATTCGAAAATGCAAAAATGAAAATAAAATTACTAAAATATTTTTACAATTATTTTTTTACAAAAAATAATTTATGTATCATTATGTTATAATTTTAATTAAGTTGTCTTATATTATTTTCAATTTTTTATATAATAAACTATAATTATTTATACTTTTCGACAACAAATTTTTTGGCAAGAAATAATCCATTTACTAATAGATATTATAATTTCGATTACAATAATTACAAAGACTTAAAAACATGAGTATTTGTATTGATATTATTTTATAAGATAGTATGTTATAATTTACCAAAAAAAAGAATAAATTTACTAATATATTATAACTTCAATGCTAAATTAGTGAATATATTTCAACATAGTCAATACCATAGTTAGCAAATCGCCGTTTAAACAGCGATTTTTAAAAAAAATCTGCATTTTTATGGGAACAGTTTTAAACATAAACTTTTTTAAAAGATCGGAAAATATCACGTAGTTTTCATAAAAATGTGTAAAACACACTTTTTTCATAATACTATTTAAATAAGGCCAATAAATCGTATCGTGTTTTACCTATAATTTGTTTTGAAATATTTTTTTTTTCCCCGGTTTTGTGTATTGCAACCATTACTACTTTCATGATTTTGAAAACAGAAACATTATTTTAAAAAAAAACTAAAATAGAATTTTTTATCCCCACTTTCCCTTTTGTTTTTTAACTTTAAAACATAGATGCAGATTTCAGTTGTTATTATGGAAAATCATTGTGCAAATGAAATACTGTTTATAGCAAATCATTTTGTAAAGTAATTCATTGTGTAAAGAAAATTATATACATGCAGATTTATGTGATTATTTGTGATAATTGATTTTATGAAAATACTATTTAGGGCACAAATTAGAGTTCAAAACATAGTCTTTGACTAATGAATGAGAAGCAAAGAGTGTGACTACTGGACAAAGTAAACAATATATTGTTTTTTATTATGTGATAAATATAAACAATATAGTGTAAATTGTAAACTTACAGGAGCAAGCAATTGTGCATTTAGGATTAGTTCCCCAAACCTAATCATTCAGCTCTGCTTGCTATTTACCTAAGAAAATGTAAAACCCTCCTCTTTTCTCTATCTAAAAATCAGTCACGACCTCTTCACAAATCAATATTAGTTAGGGCTTTTTCTCAAACAACATCCCAAACCCTTTTCAAACTTTCTCAAATCCGCATCCCATCTTCTTTTTTCTCTCTAAAAATCAGGTTTGTGAAGCTCGTTCTCTCTTTGAAAATCAGCTTTGTGAAGCCCGTGACCTCTTCCTTCTTCCTTGTTTTCTCTCTATAAACCCTAATGGTTATGAGCAAAACTCTATTTTCTTCTCTTCCTTTTTCCTTATTCTTTTTTCCCTCCCTATACAAACGGTAAACAAAGAGATGAGAAACCCAAATTTCTACCAGCCTCTTTTCAATTAAAGAAATTTATAAAACTCTAAACATAGTTATAGAGTGACCATAAGCACCATACTATAGTTAAATCATTGTAATGAGAAAACAAAAATCATGTTTTTTTTTTTTGGTACATATGATGTTTTAGTATTTAATAAATAAATTTATATAGTATATTTGTCACTAGCATAGTTAAAGTATTTAATGAATAAATTTATATAGTATATTTCTTTTTTGTATGTAATAAGTAGGTGTGATCTTTCTTAAAGTATTTAACGGGTAGATTTATATGGTACATTTTTTTTGGTATATAGTAGTTAATCTTATATTAAATATCGGATGATTGGATGAGAGTCTTGAGACATCTAAATTAATTGATTTAATTATATTAGTCTAGTAAAATTTTATGGATGAATTAATTATTAATAGTTTTGACATAATTTTTATTTTTTAGAATTTCAAAATTTATAATATTATAAATTTATCTGATTTTTTTACTCCGATTTTTTTAGTCTAATCCTATATATTAGCGATATCTTTACATGAAGTATTTTTGCCGATCCATATTTTTTACTCGATTTTTTCATCCGACTTTTTAAATTAAAAAGGATTTGTTCTAATCTTATGGTAAGCTGATTTATTGATAGTCCCCAACTTGCTAACTATGGTCAGTACACACCCATAGAGGTGTATAGTTTCAAGAAAACAAAGTCTAGAGATATAGTATGCATATATTAGAGAATTTCCTATTTTGTTAACAATTTAACAGTTTGCTATTTTTTCAACCGGGCAAGCTTTCTATGCTTTCCCCATAACGTAAAACTTATATACTTCTCCTTATCCAACTGTCCATTCTGAATGAAGGGCTAAGATTGCCCCAATCACAATGTCATGTCTCGACACTATTTTATTTTTATTTTTTTCTATAAACTATTTTGACACCAAATTTTGTACGTCCAATCCTCTATTAAACTCGCACTAGTGAAAAATATATATTTTCAATAAAATAAAATGACCAAAATACCCCCAAAAGTTTCAAGGGGTATTTTGGTCATTATATTTTATCAAAAAATTATTTTTAATATTTTTTATAGCTGCGCCCCAATGATAAGATGGCACATACCAAATTCTATATTCATACAATTTGTATAAAAAAACTAAAAATAAAATACTTTGAGACGTTGGATCTAAGATCAAATGGTGAATGGCTCTCTTGATCAAAATTGGACGGCTAGATAGTAGGGGAAGTATAGAAACCTTTCCCTTTTCAACCATTCCAACTCAAGTGAAGGGTGAGGAAAACAAATTCTACAGATGTACTCATATTATGAGTCTATGCTAATAAAGAATTTACTATTTTGTCAATAATTTAACAATTTGCTATTTTTCAACCATTACAACTCATGTGAAGGTTTGGG